AATATCTATTTACTTGTCTTGCTCTTCCCTTAGATGGTGGTGTCCCTAAGAGCTGAGATTGTGTCTCTTATGCAGGATGTGAACACATAGCAGGCACTCAATAACTAGTTGAATGAATGAATGAATAGCTGTGTGAACCTTGGTTGCTAAGAGCAGTAGGGGCAGGAATGGTATCTAGCCAGGAAGCCATTTCCTGATACATTTCTGACAAGGGCATCAAGGGACAGTTTGTGGGTGATTAGGATGACTTGCCTGCTTGTACCAGTAAGAGCTAGGTTCAGCTACAAGTGACAGAATACCTAGCATAACAGTGGCTCAAATAAGATAGACATTTACTTTTCTTTCATGTAAAAGACGTCTACAGATAAGTAGTCCAGAGTTGATAGGGTGGCTCCACAGTCACCAGGGACAAGGCTACTACTTTGTTGCTCCACCATCCATAACATGTGGCTTCTACCTCATGGTCCAAGATGGCTGCCTGAGCTCTAGACCTCACAAATGCATTCTAGATAGGAGAAAAGTATGACAGGACACCCCTCCCTTCCTTTTTTTTCTTTTCTTTTCTTTATTAATTTTTTTTCTTTATTTTTGGAGCAGTTTTAGGTTCACAGCAAAATTGAGTGGAAAGTATAGAGTTCCCAAACACCCCTGGCCCTACACAGGCACAGCCTCCCCTACAATTACCATCCCACACCAGCATGGCACATTTGTTATAATCAGTGAACCTACACTGACACATCATTATCACCCAAAGTCCATAGTTTACATTAAGGTTCACTCTTTTTTTTTTTTTTTTTTAATTTATTTTTGGCTGCATTGGGTCTTCGTTGCTTTCTCTATTTGCAGCAAGCAGGGGCTACTCTTCATTGCAGTGTGCCAGCTTCTCATTGTGGTGGCTTCTCTTGTTGTAGAGCACAGGCTCTAGGCACACGGGCTTCAGTAGTTGTGGCACATGGGCTCAGTAGATGTGGCTCTCAGGCTCAGTAGCTGTGGCACATGGACTTAGTGGCTCCACGGCATGTGGGATCTTCCTGGACCAGGGATTGAACCCGTGTCCCCTGCATTGGCAGGCAGATTCTTAACCACTGCTCCACCAGGGAAGTCCCTTAAGGTTCACTCTTGGTGTTATACATTCTCTGAGTTTTGACAACTGTATAGTGACGTGTATCCACTATCCTGGTATCATACAGAATAGTTTCACTGCCTAAAACTCCTTTGTGCTCCACCTATGCATCCCTCCCTTCCCCCAACTCCTGGCAACCACTGATTTTTTAGTTTCCATAGTTTTGCCTTTTCCAGAATGTCATATAGTTGGAATCCTACAGTCTGTAGCCTTTTCAGATTGGCTCCTTTCACTTAGTAATATGCATTTCAGTTTCCTTCCTGTCTTTTGTGGCTTGATAGCTCACTTCATTTCAGCACTAAATAATAGTACATTGTCTTCCAAGTTTCGGCAGTTATGAATAAAGTTGCTACAAGCAATGCATGTGCAAGTCTTTATGTGGAAATAAGTTTCAACTCATTTGGTAAATACCAAGGAGAGCAGTTGCTGGATCATATGGTAAATGTATGTTTAGTTTTGTAGGAAACTGCAAAATTGGATTCCAAAGTGGCTGTGCCCTTTTGCATTCCCACCAGCAATGTATGAGAGTTCCTGTTGTTCCACATCTTCACCAGCATTTGGTGTTGTCAGTGTTTTGGGTTTTGGTCATCCTAATAGGTGTGTGATCCCTCCCTCCCTTTTTTTTTTATAAATCCATTTATTTTATTTATTTATCTTTGGCTGCATTGGGTCTTCGTTGCTGCGTGCGGGCCTCTCATTGCGGTGGCCTCTCATTGCAGAGTACGGGCTTCAGTAGTTGTGGCTCGCCGGCTCCAGAGGCAGACTCAGCAGCTGTGGTGCACGGGCTCAGTTGTTCCGCTGCACACGGGATCCTCCTGGACCAGGGCTCGAGCCCGCGTCCCCTGCACTGGCAGGCGGACTCTCAACCACTGCACCACGAGGAAAGTCCCCTCCCTTCCTTTCAAAACTACTTTCTGGAAGCTAACAAATGATATATCCATTACATACCATTGGTTAGAACTGTCACATGACCACATTTAGCTGCAAGTTAGGCTGGGAAATGTAGTCTCTTTTTTGGGGGGCTGTGTTGGGTCTTAATTGCTGCACGCGGGCTTTCTCTAGTTGCGGCGAGACGGGGCTACTCTTTGTTGTGGTGCGCGGTCTTCTCATTGCGGCTGCTTCTCTTTCCGCGGAGCATGGGCTCTAGATGCACAGGCTTCAGTAGTTGTGGCACATGGACTCAGTAGCTGTGGCTTGTAGGCTCTAGAGCGCAGGCTCAGTAGCTGTGGCGCACGGGCTTAGTTGCTCCGCAGCATGTGGGATCTTCCCGGCCCAGGGCTCGAACCTGTGTCTCCTGCATTGGCAGGTGGATTCTTAACCACTGCGCCACCAGGGAAGCCCCAGAAATGTAGTCTTTATTGTGAGTGGCTGAGTGGCCAAGTGGCCATCTGAAAAGTCAGAGTCCTAATTGCTAAGGAGGAAGAGAGAATGGATTAGGAGCCAACCTGCAGCCTCTGTTACACTGCAGGGAAGAGAGATCCTCTCAAACTAGCTTAAGCAGTAAAGGAATTTGTTTGCTAGGTTCAGGGGTATTTCATGGAGGCCCAAGGACAGGAAGTATGGAAGGGCCTCTGAGGGTGAAGGATCTGGAAAGTTGCCAGAAACCAGGGCAGCTCTTCTCTTGTGCTTCTCTGTGGCAGCATGGGTCTCATTTGCTTCTTTCTACACATCTACTTTGTTCTTTTCCCTTTGCTTAAACACTTCCAATCAATTAGCTAGCTTTCCAGAGCCCGATTCCAAATTCCTTGGAAAGAGAATCTGATTGGCCCAGCTTAGGTCAGGTGTCAACCCTGGCCCAGTCAACTCTGGCTAGGACAAACAAGGCAGCAAGGGCCCAACTGTAGAGGGGTTTTCAGAGAACGGGTGTCATGGGATAGGAAGACTCCCCAAAGGGTATCTAGAGCATGGACATAGACCTCTCAGGTCTGTGTCCCAGGGCTTTGCAAACCATCATTCATTTAGGTAAACAATTATTGAGCACCTTTTGTATGCTAGGCACACGGATCTGCCTTCTAGGGAGTTTTCTAAACCTCTTTGGAATTTGTTCATATCTTTAACCTGCACTGTCTTTTGGAGTCCTAGCTCCTTAAATTAATCAACTCTTATCTTTCCCTTTCAATTTTCAAGGTGGGAGTCAAGGGCTTTGGCAAACACGTGTTTCCCCGTCTAGCTCTTTGGGAGCTACAGACATGTCCGTGTTCTCCCCTCTTGTCTGTCTCTCAGATAGAAACGTCTTAGTTCTTTAGCTGAGTCAGTTATGGCCCCCTCTCCCCAATCTCCCCAAGTCCTCAACTTTCTTTCTTCAGCTCTGGGATGGGCCTCTACTGGTCCCAAACATGAAAGTATCTCAAGGTCATACTCAGGGGAGAGACTGTTAGGTTTCTATTCCCTGGAGGAAAAGGACCCAGAATTTGATGGGTACTTTTTAGCATCAGGAGCAACTGCTGACAATCAGAGGTACTGTTCCTTTAGGACACCCTCTGTGCTCAGCACCAAACTAAACCCTTTATGTGAATCATCTCATACATACAGTCCTCATAATAACCCTGAGAGGTAGGCATTATTTCCCTCATTTTACAGATAGCTAATCAGGGAGCTCAGAAAGAATAGGCAACTTGCCCAAAGTCACACAGCATCTGGGCAGTGGAGCTGGGCTTCAAAACCAGACCCCTCTCCCTCCAGAGGCTTCCCGTGTGCCCAAGGCGTCTGAAAACACTCTGCATTGCCTCCAAGGACTGCCTCGTGCTTGTCCTCCTGTGAGTTTGGTTTAGAATCTTTGTAGATACCATTCCAAATGTTCGCTAACTCTTGCCACATTGAAGTAACTCTTTGGCGATCAAACTTTGATCCCATTATCGTCACTGGACAAAATAGGGGGGGCTGGGGTCAGGGTGCAGCCATCGTGTGTGGATGGAGCGCTGTACTAGGGCACCCCCTGGAAGCCCAGCTCTGCCGCTTCCCCGCTATTTGACTCTAGGCAAGACCCACCCCTCTCTTGGCCTCAGTTTCCTCATCTGTGGCTCTGTGGGCCCTTTGCAGCCCTAATTCTATAATTTCCCACTTAACTATGCATTTCATGAGGATTTCATGAGGTTGGCAGCTTCTATACCCCACTGAAAGAGGGGTGTGTCTGGGAGGTTTCCATCCGGGCTGAGCCGCCCGGGGCACGTGACTCCTGCACGTGAGGCTGTCACATCTTCTGGCTTCCCCACAGTCTGCTGTTTGTTCTGCAACCCCTGGAATTTGGGGTTGCCTGATGTCCCAGCAATTCTCTCCAGGGGGGGCTGAGTGTCCACCTCTACCCTCCTCATCTCACTTCTCACCGATGGTGTCCCAGCCTCTTCCTCCTTATCCTCACATGGCTGCTTACTGAGCCTGGGGTTTGGGGAACAAGTCTTTCCCCATCTGAGTCTTTCGAGAATATAGAGATGTCCATGTTTTCCTCTAGCATTTTGCTAAGCGTCATGTATGTGTTCGTCAAATCACTCTCTCAGCAACTCTGTAGTGTCATCCTCATTTTGCAGATGAGGCACCCTAGGCTCAGAGAGGCGAACAGATTTATCTAGGTTGACACACTAGTTAGTGCCAGAGCCGAGATTCAGACCCTGGCCTGGTATACCCCACTATGCCACGTGCCTTGGAATTGCTATGTTTCCTTGTCCCGCATGAGGAGGAAAGCCTGGCCTTCCTGGTGTGGTGTGACTGGTCTGTGGCTTCCCATGTGGTCTGGGTGGGGGAGGGTGGCCTGTTTATGTTTCGTCGGGGTGCAGGGGGACCCTAGGGAGGGAACTATGTGTGTGTTTGGAGGGTGGGATTGAAGAGTCAGGCACCCCTCCCGGCTGAGCATCCCTGAACCTCTGTCCACATTTGTTTCCAGATGCTGGAAGGAGACCAGGCCATCCTACAGAGAATAAAGAAGGCTGTGCGGGCGATCCACAGCTCCGGCCTCGGTGAGTGAGCCTGCTTGGTGCCAGCCTGGCGAGGCAGCCCTTTCCCCAGCTCCAGCCTGGAACTAACGCTGCGCCTCCCTGCTCCACAGGGCACGTGGAGAACGAGGAGCAGTACCGAGAGGCCGTGGAGTCCCTGGGTAACAGCCATCTGTCTCAAAACAGTCACGAGCTGTCCACCGGCTTCCTGAACTTGGCCGTGTTCACCCGTGAGGTGGCCGCGCTCTTCAAGAACCTGGTGAGGCCCTGCTCCTCTTTCACTCAGCCTCAGCCCAACCTCAGGGCAAATCTAATCAGTGACTTAAAAACCCTACTGGGAGGGCTTCCCTGGTGGTGCAGTGGCTGAGAGTCCGCCTGCCGATGCAGGGGACGCAGGTTCGTGCCCCGGTTCGGGAAGATCCCACATGCCACGGAGCGGCTGGGCCCGTGAGCCATGGCCGCTGAGCCTGCGCGTCCGGAGCCTGTGCTCCGCAACAGGAGAGGCCACAACAGTGAGAGGCCCGCGTACCGCAAAAAAAAAAAAAAAAAAAAACCCGACTGGGAAAGGGTTGGTTTCCACCCTTCTTTCAGGTTTCCCATGACCTCTAGTCGCCCTTGACCTCTGACCCATGACCTGAGGTTCCTTTCCAGTTCTTTTATTTTTTTTAATATTTATTTATTTTGGCTGCGCGGGTCTTAGTTGCAGCACGCAGGATCTTTAGTTGCGGCGTGCGGACTTCTTAGTTGCGGCGTGCGTGTGGGATCTAGTTCCCTGACCAGGGACGGAACCCGGGCCCCCTGCATTGGGAGCACAGAGTCTTACCCACTGGACCACCAGGGAAGTCTCCCTTCCCAGTTCTGACCTCCTATTTGCATTCTTCTTCCTCTCTGACTTCTTTCCGGCCAGCGTCTCCTCTCCCCTCTCTCCCTCCCTCCCTGCCCTCCTCCTTCTCCTCTGTGGTGAGCACCCAGGAGCAGAGGGGGTCTCACAGTGGGGAGGAGCCCCACTCAAGGGAGGGCAGGCTCGGGTTCCTGTCTTTGCACCACTGCCTCTCCTTCACCCTCTTTGTCCTCTGCTTTCCCAGCCATACCTGCTTTGTCCTCAAAGGCAAGAACGTGCCTCGCCTCAGCAAGCCTCTCAGCTCTTGCACGTGGCCCAGTTCCTTCCTTCAGGTTCCTTCCTGAGATGGCCTCCTCCCCGTCCGCCAAGCCCCCGCCTCAAGGCTACCCCAAGACATGAGCTCTTTCCTGGTGCAGGCATGTTCTCAGTACTTCACATGTGTTAACATTTCATCCTGGAGCACAGCTCTGTGGGGTTGTTTTTACTATTGTCCACCCCTGTACAGGCTAGGAAACTAAGACACGAGGTTAAGCACCTTGTCCGAGGTCACACAGCTGATTTGAACCCAGCATCCGAGCACAAGCCTGGCTGTACCACCTCCCAGGAAAGCCTGTCTCCCTCTAGGCTTCATAGCTCTTGGCCCAGCTTTCGTGGCTCAAGTTCCACCCAGGGCCCTTCCTGGCTGGCGGGGACCACATCATCTCTATGAGGCAGTTTGCTTAGTGATCAAGCACCCACACCTCAGGCTTAGACTCAGGCCTTGAATCCCTGCTTTGCTGCTCACTAGGTGTATGACCCTGGGCAAGTGCCTCAGTCTGCCCAAGCCTCATCTGTAAAATGGGGATAACAGTGGCCCCCACCTCACAGAGTGGTGATGAGGATTTCGCAAGTTAAGTGCCTGCTCCGGGGTAGCGCTCAGTTAACATTAGCTAATATTGCCATCTGTCATCATTTTGTCTTTTTGCGTAGCACTGCCTCGCACCCTGTCCTGCACGTAGAGGCCTTTAACAGTGTTTGGGTTCAACTGAATCAGTGACATCTTTTGTCTTTACCTCTCCTCCCCTTGTTTCAGTCAAACTAGTGTTTGCTGAGCATCTCCTCAGTGGTGGGTGGTGTACCAGGGGCTGGTGACACAGGGAAGAGTCAGACTGCCTTGGAGAGCCACAGCCTAGTCGAGGAACTGAGATGTGAAATGACAGCAAGCAAGACCAGCAGTGTGGCACGAACTCAAGGACCCAGTGGCTTGGGTCAGAGGCCTAGGGCTGCCATGGCTCAGAAAAGGGGAGGTCAGGATAGGCCACAGGAGGAAGTAGTCAGGAAGGCTTCCTGGAGGAGGGGAGGCCTGAGCTATACCTTGAAAGGTGGGCTGAAATATTAGATAGGCTGTTTTGAGTTGCCAAATGACAGAAATTCAACTCAAACTAGGTTAATTTTTTTCTTTTTATATGTCTTTTTCTCTCTTTCAATCTTTTTTTTTTTTTGGCCATGCCACATAACTTGTGGGATCTTAGTTCCCTGACTAGGGATCGAACCTGGGCCCACCCAGCCCCGGCAGTGAAAGCGCTGAGTCCTAACCATTGGACCACCAGGGAATTCCCTAGGTTAATTCTTAAAAAGAGAATTCACTGGCCCCTGTAATGGGAAGTCCAGGTATGCAGCTGGTCTTAGGCTCCTTTTCTTTCTCTTAAAGAGTTTCTCTCTGTCTCTGCTCAGTGGGCAGGCCCAGATTCACACCTTACAGAAGAAAGACAATCTTTCTCCCATGACTTTGGCAGAGAAGTCCCAGGAAGTATCCTGATTGGCTGGTTTGGGTCATGTGCCTCTTTCTGATCCAATCACAGTAGCCGGAGGGTGAGGCACTCTGGTCAGCTCTGACTCCTGTGTTCACCCCATGTGACCATAGGGAATGGGTTCCCCACATTATAAGGGGAGTCGAGGAACTAGCCAGACAGAAACAACAGATGGCGCTACAGGTGGACCTCAGAGGGTCAGAGAGGAGAGGTGAGGGTGTCCCTCTGGCAAAGGGACAAAGGCAGGCTGGCCATGGATGCCGTGGATTGAGCAGTGAGGTGATAAGGCGGATTAGCCAGGGGAGGGGAAGAGCTTCCACAGGAGGCCGGCCCCGCCACCCCTTGTACTCCTTCACCTTCTTGTCTTTCTCTCCCCTGCCTCCTTTACCCCAGTGCTGTCCTTGGCCTTGTGATGCTTCACCGTGCCCTGAGCCCCTTGGGGCTGGATGGACAGTCACCCAAGGGGGGGTATGGGGGTCTCTGCTTTTTCCAGGTTCAGAACCTGAACAACATTGTCTCTTTCCCCCTGGACAGTCTGTTGAAGGGGCAGCTGAGGGACGGGCGACAGGTAAGTTTCCACATGGGCAGCAGGGGGAGTGCAGAGGTGGTGGGATGGAGCAAGACAGGGGTGGGCAGGAGAGGACAGGGGAGGCAAGGCTGGGCTGAGGACGGAAGCCAAGCGAGGCTGTCACAGTGGGTGTGCTGACCCCACATTACTGACCCTCAGGATGACAGGAGGACCTGGCCCTGGGGTGAGCCTAGGATGGCTGACTACTGTCTGCCTGGGCCCTTTACAACAACCCAATGAGGCGGGGGTCCTGTAGGTGCTGTTATCCCCATTTTGCAGTTGAGGAAACTGAGGCTCAGGGAGTTTGGTACCTGCTTCCAGTTTACACAGCTGGTCAGTGGAGGAGCCGGTGTGAGAGTCAGGCCTCCTGACTCCCATGCTTGGCTGCTCTTTCTGCAGCAGGCAGCTCCTGGCTAGAGGCAAAGTAGAACTCAAAGAGAGTAACAGAATAATCTCCCTGGGAAGTCTGCCCCAGAAGGCCCCTGAGAGGTTCTCCCCACAGAGGCTTTCCTCCTCGCCCCGGGAACCACCCAAACCAGACCAGCAGCTTTTTCGCCTGGTAGACTGGGGCACCTTGGAAGTTTAGGGGTGGGGGCAGGGGGGCTGTTCTGAAGGGTGTGAGCAGCCTGCTGGATGAGGCCCAGGCAAACTAGGCCAGGGATAAGCCAGGTCTCTCCGGCTTGCTGTGTGGCCTCAGGTAGACTTCTTAGCCTCTCTGTGCATATGTCCCTCCACCTGTACCTTCCTGTTGAAAGGGTGAGCAAGTACCAGGCAGGAGAAAACAGTGGGGTAAAGTTAGAGGAGGATTCTGATCTTTATCCTCCATCCTTTTCCTCATGGTGATCTCCATCTTCTAAGGGAGGGGACTCAGGGCAGACCCCCCAAAATCTCCCCAGTACCCTAGGCCTGAGCCTACCAATTCAAACGGATTACTGGCAACTGCGGGAAGAGGTCAGTTGGAAGAAGGGGCTCAGCTCTGAGAAATGGGGTTGGTTGGGTCTATTTTGGGGGGTCAGGTTTGCAGTCAGGGCTATGTGGGCAGCGGGGGGGTTGGATTGTGGCTCTGAGCAGCACAGGGGAGCATGCAAGTGCAGGGTCCCCCTAATGGTAGCAAAGTATACTGTAGATTCCAGACCCCAAGAGCCCCTTTGGGCAAATTGTTCTTTCTGAACTACAGGATTCCAAAAAGCAACTGGAGAAGGCATGGAAGGACTACGAAGCCAAAATGTAAGTGGCTGCAGCCAGGATGGTTTGTCCAGGAGAGCAGTGTTTCTGTTGCAGTGGGAGGCTGGATATGGGGAAGAACCTAAGTGCTGCCAGGGCACGTCACCCAGAAGCACATGGCACCTCGCTCTCTAGAAATGTTTATGGGGGCTGGTTTATGCCCAGGCCTGACGGGAGTCTGGGGGCTGGACCACAAGATGACTAAACGGGAGCTATTGTGAAGGGACCCCAAGCTGCTGCTCTCAGAGACTCATCTGCTCAGTGGTGCCAGACATGGGCAGAGAGATGGAAAGGAGCATCCATTTACTCAACACCTCCATGTGCCAGACATCCATCCTCACACTCACCCAGCCCTGTGAGGGAGATATGAGTATCCCAATTATCAGAGGAGGAATTAGAGGTTCAGAGTGGTTAAGTTACTTGCCCGAGGCCACACAGCTAGGCAGAGGCAGAGCTAGGATTCACGTTCGTTGATCCTGTTTCTGCAGCACCAGGCAGTATCTATAAACATTTAGCTGGACACAGAGGATGAAAGGCCATACCCGGGCCTCTTGTGTGCAACACACAATACTCCAGATTTCTTCCTAGCTACTGGGACATTAGGGAGACAGAGGGAGTCCCAGGTACCCAGTAACCAACTGCCCCTGAGCAGGAACTCCTCGGGCTCTGCCTGCCAAACTCTGTTCAGGTCCTGGCCCCAGCCCTCTGCCAGGACCCAGCTGGGCACCGTTTGCTCTTCTTTGTAAAATTTTGGCTTCTCTTGCATTTTGCAAAAGCAATATGTGTTCATTATGAATAACTTAGAAAATATGGAGAAGTAGAAGAGGAAACATTGTTAATTATCTCTAGGAGAAGATGAGGGTCATGTGGGGGAATATCTAGTACTTCTCTATTGTTAGAATTTTTTTACATAGTGTGTGTAGTACTGTAATTTCATCATTTTAAAAAAGTGGAGGGTGGGGGAGAGTTCCCTGGTGATCCAGTGGTTAGGACTCGGTGCTTTCCCTGCCGTGGCCCAGGTTCAATCCCTGATCGGAGAACTAAGATCCCACAAGTGGCATGTTGAGGCCGGGGGTTGCAAGGGGGAAGCGGGGGGGGAGGGGAAACTACCAAAAACCAGGAAGAAGATCCTTCATTTCCAAGCCTAAAGTATTAACATCTTTCTAGTCATTTTTCTATATATAAAGAAATATTTTTACAAAACCAAGATCATAATAATCATACTGGGGTTTTTTGGCTTAAAAATACATTGTGAAAAAAAAAATACATTGTGACCATCTTTCTACATCATTACATATTTTTATACAACGTCACTTAAATGGGTGCACTGTGTGTCAACATATGCATAATCCACAATGTATTTAATCTGCCCTTGTTGTTGGGGAAGCATCCTCGGAACTAAATCCTTGCTCCCACCCATAATTATTTCTGTAAAATCCTTCCAAGAAGTAGATCCTGAGCTTTATTGTTCCTCAAGCTCCCAGCACCATGGGGAACTCCCTGAGTCTGAAGGAGGCCGAAACTCCTCCCCCGCAACGAGGATCTCCATGTACACTCCCGCTGTGGGTGTAGATCTTGTGGTGAAGGGTGTGGGAGCTGTGATGAGCGTGGCCATCTGTTCTCATCAGAGGCCTAGGGAGGGGTGTGGACAGGCAGGCAGGTGATCTTTCTCTTTCTGATTTGATGTGTGATCACATGGTCTTCATCTTCCTGAGTGACCTTGACTAAGCCCTTAGCCTTTTAGCCTTTCAGGGCACCATCTACTAAATAGAAAGAATAAGCCCTACCTTGCTGACCTTCCCCAAGTAGCTCTGCTTTTACCAGATTGATATATTGATCTTGCCTGTAAGGTTTCGTTTAAAGAAAAGACTGTGTGTAATAATGGGGAAAGGGGCTTGTCGGAGGTTACGCAGTGAGTTATCGATAGGACCTGGGCTAGAACCCAGGACTTCTGAGTCTGGCCTTCTTCTTCCAGGGGTCTCCTGGCTCCTGCTTCTATAACATAGATCGAGCTACATGTCCTGGCACAGGTGTCTGTGTACATTCGTTTTATGAGGGCTCCAGGTATAGCTAGATATTAGCGAGCCATGCGTTACTGTGTAATTCCAAACTCATTCTTAACCAAACCAGTCTGGGCAGCGACTGCAAAGGGTCCAAGGGCCCTGATAGTATCTGTTGAATACCACCAGGATTCTCACCCCCTGGTTGTTCATACGGGGGGTCTCCCTCTCCACCTGGGGCTGCTAAGGAAGGCATCCCAGGCCCTGTGCAGGGGACACAGTTATCTAGGCTGTTCCATTTTCAGGGCTGTTTCCTCACCTGAAAAATGGGGCCAACGATACCTTGCAGGGTTGATGTGGAGATGAAATAAGTGCAGTGCATATACAGCACCTGGCACTGCAGTTCAACACGTACTTATTGGCCATCTTTCTGAGCCAGAACTGGGGCCAGAATAACACAGCAAGGGGTTCAGAGGCAAGAGCCCAGACCTCTGCTCCTAGCATTTCCCCGACCAGCCTGGGATCTTGGGCAATTACCTCCCTTCTCTGGATCTCAGCTTCATCTTTTGGAAAATAGTCCCTGACCGTGATCTATCAGAAAAGACACTGTGACTGTCACCGGCTGGGGGAACCAGGCAGGGAAGGAGGGATGGAACAAAGCTGAGCCACAGTGTTTGTTACCACTGCTGTCCCTGAGGCTCTAGCATCAGGCTGACTTGGCTTCATATCCTCTAGTACTTAGCAGCTGTGTGCCTTGGACAAGTGACTTATCTGTAAAATGGAGTAATGATTCCTGCCTTATGAGATTATTGCTTTAGTGTGTGAAGGGCCTAGCAGAGCACTCAGCACAAAATTAGCACTTAAAAATAATTATTAATAATAGCAGCTAATACTTATACTTACTTAAGAGCTTCCTTTGTGCCAACTGCTGTGATAAGCTCTTTACATCTGTCATCAGTTATTCATCTTAGAAGGGAAAGGTGCTATTATCCCCAATTTATAGGTAAGTAGTGAGGGAAAAAATATCACCACAATCCCTGCCTTAGTGGATCCCACTGGTTTGTAAGCAAGAAGGGAGGTGGGTCCCAAAATAATGAAAATACAAAGTGACAGTGCTATAATGAAGGCATCAGCACAGAGGTGGCAGAACAGGCAGGCAGTTTTGGGGTGGAGGGAAGGGTGGTTGGAAAAGGCATCACAGGAGAGGTGGTTCAAGGTGCCAGGTTGGCAGATGCATAATTCGTTTTGATTCCTTTCCTCTCCCATCTCCCTCCCCACTGACCTCCTTACTCCACTGGTACCTGTTCCTCATCCCCTGAATAGTGTTAGACTGTGGCTGTGATCCCCTCCTCCAGTTATCTCTGTCTTCTTAGTAACTAGCCTTTCAACACTTTTCATTCCTGCTGCAACTCCATTCAAAGAAAATAAAAATATTCCTAACATTTGAAATGTTTATGAAACATTGGTCACACTTTGAGGACAGGGAGGGAATGGGATTTGCTATTTTCTGTGTGGGGTTGTGTGCGGTGGAATGAAAGCACTCCCAGCTGTTAGTCTGAGGTGTATCAGGTCATTTCAGGTGACTATTTCAGACTTTGTAGGGAAATCTTTGTAAATTACCATAGCTGAGGCTGAGGGACAGAGCTATGGTAATTCACAAGGCCATGTATCATACTTCACAGCTTATCTTCATCCTGAGCTAAGTAGCTTCTGTCCTTTAACCTCCACTAGACCTTGCATAAAAAATGTTAAATAAATAAATAGGAAGTATGCTACACTAAAAAAATTATCTAGGGAATTCCCTGACGGTGCAGTGGTTAGGACTCAGTGCTTTCACTGCTGGGGGCCAGGTTCAATCCCTGGTCGGGGAACTAAGATCCCACAAGCCACATGGAGCCGCCATAGATAGATAGATAAATAAATGCATAAATAAACAAAAATAAATTATCTAAGGGAATCATCAAGTTATTACTATATCATCAGTATCATTAGCATCATCATAATCCTGTCATTTATTGAGGGCTTACCATACACCAGGGACTGTACTAAATGTTTCCAGTGCATTAAATCATCTGAGAACTAGGCAGTATTAGTCTCATATTTGAAATGGGGAAACTGAAGCTTAGAAAGATTTATAAGATTATGTAATCGAGGGAGCTGCCATTCAAATCCAGAATCCACATTTCTAGCCACTGTACTATATTGTGGCTTCCTTTTTGTCCATATACTCTGGAGCAGACTTCTTTCCACGCCAGTATATATAGATTTCCCCCATCCTTTTTAACAGCTGCATAGTATTCCTATATGTGCACATAGCATCATTTATTTAACTACTTCCTGTTGATAAATATTTAGCTTATTTTTTCACTTCTACCTATTTATTTACTTATTGGGGGGGTGCATGCCATGCATCATGCGGGATCTTAGTTCCCCCACCAGGGATCGAACCCATGCCCCCTGCAGTGGAAGCGCAGAGTCTGTTAGATCTGGAGCACCAGGGAAGTCCCTCTCACTTTTTGCAGATATGGTAACAATGTAGACGGGAGCTGCCTTTGCCCTCTCCCAGCTGCTCTGCCCCCTCAGTCTCCCGCCCTCCTTAGCAAGCTGCCAGGCTTATTGTTGCTCAGGCCTGGCCACCACTTCTCTCTCTGCTGCTCATCTTCAGATCCCAAAAAAGCATCTGCCCTGACCCCCAGGCCCGTTCACAGGGTCAGTCCTCACCTAACTCCACTCCCCTGCCAAAACCTAAAGGAAAACCTAAACCATTAAAAACAAACAAAACCACACACACACACACACACACACACACACACACACACACACCCTGCAGAACGCTGCTCCACCCAGGGGTGATTTTGTACCCCCAGGAGACATTTGCGGTTGTCACAACAGGGCAGATGCTACTGGCATCTAGTGGGCAGAGGCCAGGGATGCTGCTAAACATCTTACAATGCACAGGAGGGCCCCCACAGCAAAGGATTATCTAGTCAAAATGTCTTTAGTTCCAAGGTTGAGAAACTGCCCTCTGGGTCTCAGGGACAGATTCTGCAAATAAACACCATTCCAGAGGTTTGACGTCAGTAAGGTCTAGAACTTTAGAACCAGAAGGGGCCTGAGAACTCAGTCTGGGTCATTGCTTCCTCAGTTTACAGATGGGAAAACTGAAGCTTAAAGGGGCCTATAATATTATACTGTAGTGTCTTCTGTCTGCTAAGTCTTTTGCATACTTCATCTCATCTGGGTACAGAGAGAGGTCCCCATTTTCCAGATGAGGAGACTGGGGCTTGGAGAGGGGAAGTAATGCAGATGTAAGGTTATCCCGCGTCTCTTTTCTTCGCTCAGGGCTGGCACCCACTGGGAGCAAAACTATACACAAGCTGTCTCCTTTACACGGGATTCACGGTCTCATGCGTCCAGCCCAAGATTTGGAAATACTCTCCTGGCTGGGAGTGGGTGGTCTGATGGGTGTGGGATTTCCAGGAAACCATTTATACACAGTTCCACCCATCCACAAACAGAAACCACCAACTCTGAGATCCTTAGGGGAGAAAACCCAGGTTACTCTTAGCTACAGGATGGGAAGCACTTTCTGTCTTCACCTACAAAGAAAAGAATCAAGGTTTTTTAAGCTTTAAATGGGAAGCTCCATGGCTCAGAAGAATGAAGGCACCTTGTGGTCTTTTAACCCACATGGTCCTAAATCCCTTCCAGAAAAATCAGAACTGGTTACCCCCAATCCCACCTGGCCCTATCTGAGCCCATCCCCTCCCTGCCTAGAAACCATCAACTCCTTCCCATTGCTCTTGGGATAAAGACCAAGAACGTCAACACGGTCTGACTCAGGCCCTGCGTGGTCTGGCCTCTCTTTACCTCACGTGGAACCACCTCCCTCTCTGTCTCCGCTGTGAGCCCTGATCTCTCCTGCCTCTGGGCTGTCCTGTGGTCTGATCCTCCCACCCAGCCCTAGCTTCCTCTGACTTCAGATCCCAGCTCCAGCATCACTTCCTGAGTAGCTGGATGAGGTCGGATCCCCCATTTTACTCTCCCATTGCTCTCTTCAAGGCTGTGATTTGATTCACGGGGCTGACTCCCCCCCTCACCAGCCTGTACATTCCCTGAATCCACACTGTTGACCATTGTACCCCAGCCCCACCACACAGCTGCGCAGAGGAGGGTCCCCTCACTCTCATGTGCCTGTACAGACAGGAGCATGTAGGGATGGTGGGACGTGCAAGGGGATAGTGAGAGTTGTTCAGGCCTCTCTTTCCTGGGGGCCTAGGGCCAGGATGGAGAAGGAGAGGGACCGGGCCAGGGTGACAGGAGGGAGTGCCGGGGAGGTGGCGCAGGACACCCAGAGAGAGCGACGCGTCTTCCAGCTGCACATGTGTGAGGTAAGAGGTGCCCCAGGCCGAGGGAGGGGTGGGATGCATCTTCCTGTCTGCATCCCTGAACGTCCCCGGGGTCCCAGTCACAGTCTCAGCCCAGGTCCTTGCCAGATGGCCCTTGAGGGGTCACCAAGGTCCAGTCATGGCCAAAAGGATTAGCCTGGGATGGGGACGGCAGCCGCTTGTGCCCAGGATTCAGCTTTGCTCACATCACACACCTTTCCCTGCCCTCTCCCCAGTATCTGCTGAAAGCCGGGGAGAGCCAGATGAAGCAAGGTCCTGATTTCCTGCAGAGCCTCATCAAGTTCTTCCACGCCCAGCACAAGTAGGTTTCTCCCCGTGTGCCACCCCCATCCCCTCGGTCGCTTGCCCCTTAACCCTTCAGGCAACCGAGGACAGGGCCATCCCCAGGCTCTGGCAGACGCTTGAGGCTTCCGTGTGTGTCTGTACCTCATTGGTAATGCTTTTCACGGCTGCTCTTCATTGAATGCTCACCACGTATCAAGCACTACGTACCCTACACACACCCCTGTGAGCAGCGACTGCTAGTATCCCCATTTTATAGATGAGAAAATTCAGGCTCAGATTTACTAAGGTCACACAGCTAGGAAGTGGGATCTGGACCCAGACACTCTGACTCCGGGGTGCCTGCTTGTGGCCGTCACACTCTATTGCCCCCAGGTGCCCTGTGACCTTTAGAGCACCTTCTCCCACACTTCCCCTCTCATTTCATCTCTCTCTCTGGTCCCTTGTTTGGCCTCACACCCTTAGCTTTTTCCAAGATGGCTGGAAGGCTGCTCAGAGCCTGTCCCCCTTCATTGAGAAGCTGGCAGCCTCAGTACACGCAGTAAGTTGGGCCTCACCCTTGAGCTTGTGGTCAAGTCCCCTGTCCTTCCGGGAGAATCTGTGGCCGTGGAATTGCTGGTTTCTGTCCAGAGAGCAAGGAGGCTACTGCCCTGCTGCTCTGGGTCTGGGCTCTGTACCCTGTACCTGGCACATCCGCTGGCTGATGATGGGGTCCTGCCCTTTGTCCCATAGCTGCATCAAGCCCAGGAGGAGGAGCTACAGAAGCTGACCCAGCTCCGGGACTCCCTTCGAGGGACGCTGCAGCTTGAGAGCAGAGAAGTCAGCCCCTGAATCATACCCAACCAAGTGCCCACTCCCAAGGCCTACCCTGGAGGGAGGGAGAGAAATAGCGTCCCCTTGAGAAGTCTCCCTGAGTGAGACCCCTGCAGATTGGGGCTCTTCCCACCCACATGCCCTGAGGTCTCCTTTGCATGTCCGAGGAACAGGAGACTCTGAGCCGGAAGAACTCAGGAGGTGGCTACAGCATCCACCAGCACCAAGGCAACAAGCAGTTTGGGACAGAGAAGGTGGGCTTTCTGTACAAGAAAAGTGATGGGTAAGTGACTCAGAGAGCTCAAGTAACTTGCCCAAAGCCACCCAGCCAGTAAATGGTAGGGTTGGGTGAGCTGCCTGAAGGGACTGTTCCTATCATTTGTGTAGACCCTGAGGGTTCCAGGACCCTCCACTCTGGCAGTGCAAAATCATCAGAATCCTGGGCTCGTGAATTTCTGCTAAAGTTGGTGGTTGTTCTTAACGTAAAGAAGAAGAATAGCAGCAGCGAACAATTTCTGAGCACTTTTTATGCACTAGACAGTCTCCGTGGCCTCACCCGTAATCTCTATAATATATTGACTGCCTGGAAATGAAACTGTTGACTGTGCCCTGCTCCCTGGTGTAAAAAAAAAAAATCAGTCTGTGAAATGCAAAGGCCCTTATGGGAATCCGTTAATTTTTTTACTTACTAATCGGTTTTTATCAGAGAAGAATACCTTTGTTAAACCGATTAATATTTACCTCTTACAGGAAAAGTGTCAAGTAGCTTTGATCATGGATCATGGATTTGCTAATTTTATTTTTGAGGGCTCGATATTTATCTTGCTTTGTCTTTAACCATAATTCATCTGTTGTGGTCAAGAACCTGTTCCTCCTCTCAGACTAGGAGGTCCCTAAGGTTGGGAACTGTCTCGTCCATCAGACTGGAAGGTCTCAGAGGGCCAAGGTCACATGCCCCTTTAGAGTAAAGATTCCTAGAGAGTGGGGCTGTCTGACTGAGAGCTTCCTGATGGCAGGGCTGTGTCCCCTCCAGCAGAAGGGAGCCCAGGGAGTGAGGGGCATAGGGGTCACGGGACAGAAGAGGTGAAGAAGTGAGTCCTGGTCCAGGACTCTGTTCACTGATACAGGGGAATTAGGTGTGAGCCTTGAGTGACTGTCTTTCTATCCCTCTGGGCCCTAGAATTCGAAGAGTCTGGCAGAAAAGGAAGTGTGGAGTCAAGTATGGCTGCCTGACCATCTCACACAGCACGGTGAGGCCTGGAGGGGTGGGTGGTCTCAGGACATGATAGGTCCTCTCCTCCTGGTGTTCAGAGCAGACAGATGTCAAACCCTCCCTCTAAGACTGGTTGCAAACCTGGATCCAGGGAACTGGAGACCCCCTGTGGGAGGAAGGAAGGGATCCAAAGCCTCACACTCCACATCCTTGAGGTGCTAGGAGAGGGGAGACATAAACTGGAACACGATTATTATGCCCATTTAACAGACTGGGAAACAAGCCTAAGAGTTTGGGAGGCCCAGAGGGTAACACGTACATCCTCCATCCCCAACTTCGCACAGATAAACCGGCCACCAGTGAAGCTGACCTTGCTGACGTGCCAAGTGAGGCCAAACCCTGAGGAGAAAAAGTGCTTTGACCTGGTGACCCGTGAGTAGTCCCTGCCCCCTCCCTACCCAGCAACTGCCCAGGGCTTCTCTGAGAGACCTGTCAGCTCCTGGGAGGCTCCAATTAGGGGCCTGTGTCCAATTCCACATGTGTTTATCAAATAGTTGCTACGGCAGGCATAAGACTCCTTAAGCTCTGGACACTTTTCAGAGGCTTCACCCCATGTCACATTAAACATTAAAATGCACCCACACCCCACATTAAATATGATTATTTCTGTAAAGCATATTTAAATGGATTTGGGTAATTTGGCTTTCAAAATTATTACTTTAAAATGTTCAGTTTTCATCTTTTGGGGTCTTGGTGACAGGCTTTTCATGAGCGCCAGCGCAGGCTGAGAAGGACCTAGATCTGGTCTTCAGGGAGCTCTGCTGGCAGGGTTGTGAGGTGGGGACCCGGAACTGCAAGGTGATGGGGAATGTCCAGAAGAGAGGTGCAGATATAGCACCATCAGAGATTAGAGTGAGCGGGGAATTCCCTGTCGGGTCCATTGTTTAGGACTCAGCGCTCTCACTACCGAGGGCGGCCTGGGTTCAATCCCTGGTCAGGGAACTAAGATCCCGCAAGCCATGCGGCGTGGCCATAAATAAATAAATAAATAAAATTTAAAAAGATATATTAGAGTGAGGGAAGGCCTGCCCTGCTGTGAGGAATCAGGAAAGCCTTCTCGGAGTTTAGCCTTAAAGGACACAGAACATAGAGTCTGGGGGAGGATGTTTCAGGAGATGAAAGGCATGGAACCAGGAGAGTGGGTCCTCCAGTTTAGACAGGGTGCAGGGTTCCCATAGCAGTAGTGGGAGATGAAGCCTGGGACCGCCTCTTAAAGGTTTGGACCTTATTTCCTGGCAGGAGGGAGCCATGGGAGGCCTTGGAGCAGGGAAGTGGCGTGATTTGAGCGGAACCTTTGGCCCAGCAATCTGGCAGCTGGTGCGGGCTGGGGGACGAGGGGGAGAGGTGGGGAGCAGGAAGACCCGAAGGGAGGCTGTGGGGCTGGGAGGGGAGGTGGCCATAGGTTCAGAGGCTCCTCTGCCCGTGAGCTGAGGGGGGTCCTGTGCCCTGGGAAACCTCGCCTGACCCTGGAAGCTGGGCTTCACACAGAGGGCCTTCTTGGGGTCCTACTCTGGAGGTTTCTTCTGAGAAACTGCCCCCTCTGCTGGCCACTGTCATTACCCGCCCACGGTAGCTTAGCAGAGCCTGGCCCCAAGGAACAAAACCTCCGTCTGGAGCCGGCGGTGGGGGTGAGGGCTTCCCAGGCCCAGGGCAGCAAGGACAGTAGGATTTCTGTGAGCCAGACAACGCCCCTCTCCCCACAGACAACAGGACATACCACTTCCAGGCGGAGGACGAACATGAGTGTGAGGCGTGAGTGCCCCCCACGGCTAGCCTGGGGGTGGGGGCAGGGGAGCAGCCTCCGGCCCGATACAGGACCGCACCACCGCGGGCGTCATGCCCACGCGACGCCGCACTCTCCGCAGGTGGGTGTCAGTGCTGCAGAACAGCAAGGACGAAGCCTTGAGTAGTGCCTTTCTGGGGGAGCCCAGCGGCGGCCCGGGGCCCTGGGGGGGCGCCGGGCTGGACGGGGAGCCCCAGGACCTCACCAAGCTGCTCATCGCCGAGGTCAAGAGCAGGCCCGGGAATGGCCAGTGCTGCGACTGCGGGGCTGCAGGTGGGGCCGGACGAGGAGGGAGGTGGAAACGGAGGGGAGGGGCCCGCGCCTTCAGGCACGAGCTGCGCTACTTTGCAGACCCCACTTGGCTCAGCACCAACCTGGGCGTGCTCACCTGCATCCAGTGCTCCGGCGTTCACCGCGAGCTGGGCGTGCGCTTCTCACGCATGCAGTCCCTCACCTTGGACCTGCTGGGCCCCTCCGAGCTGTTGGTGAGGGCGGGGCGGGGCCGGAGGGCGATCAGGGGCGTGGTCTGATGAGGGGGCGGGGCTTGGGCCCGAAGGACTCAGATGGAGCCTATGGGGTCGGATGGGGCGGGGCCAAGGTGAGGCAGGGCCAAGTTGGGGCAGGACCCAGACGAGCCAAAAAGAGGATGGGCGGGGCGGAGCCGAGCCTGGACCAGGAGGGAGGCTGAGGGGCGGGACCTCTGGAAGCTCAATCCTCCAGGGGGCGCTGTCCTACCACCGCGTCTTACCCCCACTACTTTCCCGCGAACCCAGCTGGCCTTGAACATCGGAAACACTCGCTTCAATGAGGTCATGGAGGCCCAGCTGCCCTCGCACGGCGGCCCTAAACCCTCAACTGAGAGTGACATGTAAGGCGATTCTCAGCTGGGGGCAGATTCTGGCCGGGGGATTCTGCTTTCCCGGCTCCCAGGGAGAAGTCTGGGGAGAGGGGAGCCTCAGATCTGGAAGAGTCCAGGACATGTGGGGTGGTTTCAAGGGTCAGCTGAGTACAAACGGTCCTTGCTCTGACATCCCGCGGTTATTTTTGACAGGAGCACCCGCAGGGACTATATCGTGGCCAAGTATGTGGAACACAGGTTTGCCCGGCGGTCCACCCCCGAGCCTCAGAGACTCTGGACGGCCATTTGCAACCGGGACCTCCTGTCAGTACTGGAGGCCTTCGCTAATGGGCAGGACTTTGGACAGCCACTGCCGGGGCCTGAGGGGCAGGTGAGAACCCTCTCCAAGGGCCACTTATAACCCAGGCACACTTAGCACGCCCCAGTCCTCCTGCAGGGCTGGCTGTTACTCCCCCCTGCCCCACCTCTGACATCTGCTCAAACCCCACCCATCAGAGGGGTAAATGGGAGAGAGCACAACTTAAGTCAGGCAGTCCTGAGCCAAAATCCTGGCTCTGTCTTTTCCTAGCTGTGTGATCCTGAGCAGTTTACTGAACTCTGAGTCTCATTTTCTCATCTGTAAAACGGGTTAATGATAGCACCCATGGGGTTGAAGTGAGAATTAAGTCCCGTATGAAAGGGCCTGGTGCATAATATATGTGCGATAAACGTTAGAATCTTTTTTTCCCTTGAATAGCCTTAGAAATGGGGAGGGGTGGGTCAGATCAGAGCAAGGAAGGCTATTGCACTGGTGATTCTAGTAACAAACATCACGTGAGCCAAGGGGGAAAGGATATCAGAGACATTTGAAGGAATAAATTGACACTGATTGGACATCAAAAATTGGATGCCATGTCTTTGAGCTGTCTGCCTGATATCTTGTGGGCTATCCAGTGGGCAGGGTGGGTGTAGCACGTAGACGGGGTAAGAATTTGGAACAGCCTACACGTGAGTGTTAACTGAAAGCTTGAGGTTATTCGACGTCTCTGGGAGCAGTGAGAGAGGAGCAGAGAGAAGAGTTCAAGGCCAAGAACCAAGTTTGGGAAACACCTTCTACTGGGGAGAAGGAGGTAGAACCACTGAAGGAAGCAGTGAGGGAATGGCCTTTCATCCTCCTCCCAAACATGAGGTGTCACCATTCAGTTTCCTCTCTCAGGGGTTCTGGCAGCTTCATATCTGGAGGTGTCAGGGGGCAGCAAGAGTTTAAGAGGGTAATATTGGGGGGCAGGTGAACTGGGGTAAACTCAGAGGTGTGGACATGTATTCAGGCACCTGGAGAGCTCGCCCTGCACTTGGCTGTCAGAGTCACCAACCAGGCCTCCCTGCCCCTGGTGGATTTCATCATCCAAAACGGGTGAGAACCTCCCTGCCCACCTCCTCACGCTCCCCTTGCCTTCCTCTTCTCCCCCTCTCCTCCCTCCTTTCCTCTCTCTCTTTTCCCCCTGACTTTGACCCCTTCACCTGTCTGTTCCCTTCCTTCCTCCCTGACCTACCCCCCCACACCCCGCCACAGTGGTCACCTGGATGCCAAGGCTGCTGACGGGAACAGCGCCCTGCACTGCGCTGCTCTCTACAACCAACCTGACTGCCTCAAGCTGCTGCTGAAAGGGAGAGCCTCACTTGGCACAGGTGGGGCTCCGACAACTCCTCCATCAGACTCCCATTCCTGACTGCCCCTCCTGGGGGACTTCCTGCCTTATTTCCAGACAGAGAGCACTGGTAACAAGCATGGACTTTGCACACAGACTTGGGTTCTAATCCTGGCTTGCTTCTGACCACCTTTGTGACTTTGGGGTTTGTCCATTCATCTCTTGAACCTAAGCTTCTTCATCTGTAAAATGGGAATAATACCACTGACCTAGCAGACCTGCTGAAAGGATAAAATAAAACAACGTTTCTTAAAGTACCTAGACAAATAAACATTAACTGAATCTGAATAATAGTGCTTGTAATAGCTATGATTTGCTGTTTAATGTGTACCTGGTAATGTGCCAAGTGCTCTATGTATATTAACTCATTTAATCCTCATAACAACCTCGTCAGTAGTTCCAAGTATCATACTCATTTTATAGATGAGAAAATTAAGGCCCAGAGAGGTTAAGTCACTTGTCCAAAGTCACACAGCCAGGAAGTAGCAGAGCCAGGATTCAAACCCAGACGATCTTGATCCCAAAGGCTCATCCTAACCTCTAAGTTATAATGCCTCTTTGACCCTGACCACGACCCCTGACTTTATCCCTCACAGTGAACGAGGCAGGAGAGACAGCTCTGGACATAGCCAGGAAGAAGCAGCACAAAGAGTGTGAGGACCTGGTGAGGTCTAGGGAAGGAGAGGGAGCCCCTGACCCTTTCTATCTCTCTGCTGAGCCCCTGACCTTCTGAACTGCCAAGACTTTGTTTTTGGCAGCTGGAGCAGGCCCATGCCGGGACCCTCGCCTTCCCCCTGCACCTGGACTACCCCTGGGGGATCTCCACAGAGCCTGGCTCTGACAGTGAGGAGGATGAGGAAGAGAAGGTGCGTCCCAGCCCTCGCCTCTCAGGCCTCCAGACAGCCGAAGGGAAGACCTGATGGTCTTCCAGGTCCACATGGGACCTGATGTGGGGAGGGGCGAGGCTGAGCTGGAGGAACCAAGGGCATCCTCCCTCCCACACTTCTGCCCCAGCAGCGCTGCCCGCTGAAGCCGCCAGCCCAGGTCCGCTGGGCCAGTGGGAGGCTGGACATCAGCAACAAGACCTACGAGACCATCGCCAGCCTGGGACCAGCTGCCCCTAAGATCCAGAGTGAGGATTGCCCCCCACCTTTGCCGGTCAAAAACCCTTCTCGGACCATGGCCCAAGGGCGTGCGGGACATGCCAGTGGAGGTATGGTTGGCTGCCCAGAAAAATGCTCTCGTGCCATTCATTGAGGGCCTGCTATGTGCTGGAGCTCAGAGTGCTGTGTTAGTCCATACTGTCCTCACTGTCACCTGTCAGGTAGGGGTTATCATCTCCCCATCACAGGTAAAGGAAGAGAGATGTTAAGTAACATGTCCAAAATCCCATAGCTAAGTCCCTGATGTGGGCTTCCAACCAGGTCCGTCTTATTCCAAATACCTCAATGCTTCACTGAAATAAAAAGAGAGAGAAGCATTTTTTAAGCGTGCACTGTCTTGAGTCCCTTGGGGGCTACTGAGACACAGTCTAGTGGGAGAGATAAAAACTGGAATGTAATTCATTATAATATAAGGCACAGTGCGACATAGAAGATAAATTCCAAAAGGACAGAAGCAAGTTTTGTTGACTACTATTTCTCCAGCACCTAGCACAGTGCTTGGCTGTTGTCAAGAACTATTTGTTGAATGAACAGGCTTGTTCTGGGAACTCGGGAGAGGGAGGGAGCGTCTCCTGCTGGGATTGGTAGGGGGGTTAGGAAGGCCTCCTGGTGGAGGCAACATCAGAGCTGAGCCTGAGGGACAAGCAGGAGAGTCCAGATTGAGGAGAGGGTGTGAGCAGAAGTGAACAGTGCTAGTCAGTGTGGCCCTGGCCATCAGGAATGAACATCATGAACCATGAGACTGAAGCATGATGGTGACGAGGTGAAGGAGAGTGCTGGACAGGTAGATGAGAGCTGGGGAATTGGGAGAGAACCATGATAGATCCCAGAGGCCAAAAGCTGCTTTGAAGTTGAGCACAGAGTAAGTGATAAAGACAGGCTTTATCACTTCTGATTTCAGATCGTTCCGAAGTTCCCAGCCTGAGCTCGGAGTCTGCTGGGGTCCCTGAGAACCTGAGCAGTCCAGCCTCCTCCTCCTGCAGCCTCACAAGCCCCGTGGAACCTGGGGGTCCCAACCAAACCCTACCCAGCTCTGAAGAGGGCCTCTGGGAGCCCCCGGGCCCCTCCCGACCCAGCCTGACATCTGGAACCACCCCTTCAGAGATGTATCCCCCTGTCAGGTTCAGGTTGGTGAAAGCCCAACTGTGCAGTCTCAGCAAGTCTCCTGACCTCTCTGAGCATCCGTTTACTTCGCCACCTCTAAACGGTGCCTGCCTGTAGCCTGGGATACCTTCCAGCGCCGAGGCCCATGAACAATGCAGAAATGCTAGACCATAAGTGGAGGGTGATTGGACCCCTTCCCCCTTCACACACCCTGCTCCTGCCTCTGGCCTGGAGAGCTGGGGAGGAGTCTGGGGCTCAGGCTGCTGAAGCTGGAAGAGCGAAGGCCTAGTGCCAACGGTGGCTTGTTCTAGAGGTTCACGGTGGGGTTTTCACTCTGTCCCCACCTCCAGCCCAGGATCCAGTCCTCTCTTCCTTGCAAAGCCTTTCAGTTTGGAGTTTGGGGAATAGATATGGTGAACTTTTCAGTGTGGAGGTCAGTTCTGGGCCTCTGGGGCCTGTGATGCACCCAGCCTGGGGGCCTCGTGGACTCTCTACCCACCCAGTCCAAGCCCCCAGCCTTGCTCTATCCCTGAGCCCTTCCCCCTACTCTAAGGGGCTCTCTGGGTGCAGGGGTCACCTTGGCCTTTCCGTGTCTTCCAGCTCTGAGAGCACTCGCTCCTATCGGCGGGGGGGGGCCGGAGCCTGGAGGACTGTCCTTCAGCCCGGCAGCCTCTACCCAGAAGGAACATGCCGGTAAGACTCCGGGACTGTGGTTTGAAGGGCGGTGAAAGGGTACGTGGGAGGCAGAGCTGGTCAAGAGTAAGTGTATTAGGGCGGCAGACCTCTGTCCAGGACTGGGGGCAGCCATCATTTGCCCAGTCCCTGTTCTGTTGCTCCTCCTTCCCCAGTCCAGGATGGGTGCAGCTGGGGAGAGCCCAGGCCTTGAGAGGCGGCAGAGATGACAAGGCCCAAGCTCTGACTGTTCCCCAAAGGAGGGTGAGCAAAGCTGTGTCAGCCAGGCTGGTCGCTCAGAGAAGGAAGCACTCCCTGCAGACGAGGAAGGATTAGGGTGGCCGTGTACCAGCCATTGGTTTGCACAACTCTCCTCTTATACAGGAGTCTCCTGGAATCCACTGAAACTTCCAGGCATAGAGGGATGTGACAGGGACAAGGCAAGAGCTGTCATCCTTAATCCAGCTTCTCCCTGCTGAATCAGTCTCGCACAATCATACATATTTAGATGAGGAGCCTGGGAGTGGGCATAGGACAGAGGCAGTTGTGCCGAGAAGGAAGCCATCTCTGTTCCTGGTTCCCCTGGGGATTTGTCGGGGTTGGCGTTGGTTGTCTGTGTTGAGAGTAGGGGATGGAAGGAGCTGGGTCTCTCTAGGGAATCATCATCCTCAAGTCTATCAGAGTCAGGTACCAGACACAAATGTGTGTCTACAACCAGGTGTCCATCACCCAGCATTTAGTTGATGCCTGTTGTTGAGACGTGTGTGATAATAAGAGCCTGGGCTTTGAAGCGTGGAGGTCTTGGAAAAGGTCTTGAAAAAGCTTCTTCAAGCTTCAGCTTCATCTGTAAAATAGGGATAATTTCATGTTCCCACAATAGGACCTTTTGAAACTGAGATAAACGGCTGGTGTATAACAGGTGCTTAAGAAATGTCAATTTTCATCCTTCTCTTCCCAGGTTGGCTTCACTGAAGGAGACGGTTCAAGGACTGGGGTTCTCCCAGCAAGCTCTGTGCAGCTTTTGCAAGACTAGCTCCTTACTAGCCCTTGCACGCCTGAACCACCCCCATGCTGGATGCCAGCATTCAGAGCTAGGACTTGAGCCTACAAGACTGGGGAGCTGAGGTGTTTATGCCCTGGGGTCTTGCTGTCTCTGTCCCTTGTGCCTCTGTGGCTGGCCTTCCTCCCTGCCATGGGCCCACGCCCCTGCCAAGGACACTGGGCCCCTCCATGTTAGGGCTGATGGTGGTTTGTCTCCATCTCATACCTGCCAGGGACCAGGGAGCCCTATGGCTGGACCCAAGTGCTCCTGACCCAGCTCCAACTGCAGAACCTCCAGTCCCTCATCAGACCAGGACTGTGTTTCTTCCATCAGTCTGGGGGGCTCTAACCTGCCTTCATTATTCTGCAGGCCAGGGATTCTGCCAGACTAGGGACTGTCTTCTCAGCCATTCACTAGCCTAGTATTCTTTGACTGAGTTCTGGCTCTGTCCATTCCTGTGCTAGGCACTGCAGATGTCACAGGAATAAGACAAAGGTCCTAAAGATGTGGTCCCTTTCTGGGCAGCCGGTCCCACGAATTAGGCTTGGAAATGGACAGGGCTAGATTCCAGAGGATGGTCCTGGGCCTAGGGGCAGACTGACAATCAGCTGGCTTGCACCTGAATAGCACTGCAGTTGTCTACAGCCTGTATCCATTCTGGTTTCTCAGTGCCCATGCTGTACTGGCTGTTAAATAAATATTCTGAATATCACTCCTTTTGAGGGACAGCACAGCCTTGCTGGGGACCGCTGTTATAATAGATTCCCAGCCAGGAAGTAGAGGAGGGTTCACCCCCATTTGCTTACTCTCCCTGATTTAGCAAGAATGAAAGGAATAGTCTGGAATGATTATCCTCACTTCTCTCCTCTTTCTCAGTCAACTCAGGAACCTTCCAGTCTCGGGGCAGGAAAGGGCCAAGAAAGGAGAAAGGAGAGTGATAGAAATGGAGGGTGGAGACTTAAAGGTTCTACTTCCCAGCGCCAGAAATTCCACCGTCGCTTTCAGGCCCATATTGGAAAACAGATACACCTAAGCCACCATCAGTCTCTAACAGGTCAGCTTTATAGGCCCTGGGCGCTGGGATGGACCAGGACAAACAGGGGAGGCCAGAGGATGCCAATGGCCAATGCAGCAGCCTGGTCTGGGAGGCTGCGCTGTTTACCCTGGAGACCTGACAGGTCTGTGATCCCACAGGAGCAAGGTTGTCTTCAGAGCCCCCAGTGTCTTGTTATTTCACTCATCTCTAATAAAAGATTTTTCAGAGTAAATTTCAGTGGTTTCATTTATGTTCTCTGAAGAGCTATCGGGAAGGGGAGGGATTCTTAGGGCTTGGAATTCTTTCTCTAGACCTGCTAAGAGGGACAGCCTGGTGTACAGCAGTGGTTTGCAACCAGGGGTGATTTTCCCCCAGGGGACATTTGACAAGGAAGACACATTTTTTATTCCCAACTGGAGGGTGCTGCTGGCATCTAGTGGCTGGAGTTCAGGGATGCTGCTAAACATTCTTCAATACACAGGCCAGCCCCCGCGAACAAGGAATTATCCAGTCCAAAATGGTAATACTGCCGAGGTTGAGAAACCCTGGTGTGAGGAAAGAGCACTGGACTAGGAGTCTGGAGACTTGCAGTTTAACTCTGCCACAGTCCCTGCTTATTTGTGAGGTGATCCCAGGAAGCACAATGGTTAGTAGGGATGTGAAAAAAAAGGAACGTGCCTTCAAGTTATCCCATCAGGAGTGAAGAAATTGGTGTATTTACTACCAACTCTGGTCTCTCGCTGGTTCAAGGGTCCTTTCTGGGGGTGTCAATTCCTAATTCTCTACTTCCAGGCTGCCCTGAAGCCCTCAGTCAGAGAGATGCAGGAAGCTGTCAGAGGTGTGTCCAGGAATTGCCTGCTGGTGACCTCCAAGGTGGATGGGTAGGCAGAGGGGATGTAGAGAGTACTGACGTGTCTGATACGGTTGAGCAGGGCAATCCTGGGCCTCACTGGGCCTCAGTCTTCCAATCTGTACAAAGAAAGGGTTGGAGTTGATGTTTTCTTAGGGTCCTTCAAGCCCTGAAGTCTTAGCTTCTTTTGATGTCAGTCAACTCACAGTGGGAGCTGGGTAGAAGTTTGAGGAAACTAAAATCTGCTTCTAAAAGCCAATCCTAAGTAATTGCAGACAGCTGTCTCTTCAACCCAGAGGAGCTTGCTTGGGGGTTGGCCAAGAAGTTTTAGTCTAACCTCCTAAAAGCGGCCTAGAGTGCTTTTCATGGTCAGGCCCCACCCTCCTCCGACTCTCTGCCCCTCCCCTCCGAACACCCCTCTCATCGCTGTGCTGTAGCCACACCAGTTTTTCCTTCAACCACCGACACGTGAAGCACCCTCCCTTCCCCAAGCTTTGAACATTCGGAACTCCAGGAGGACTGATTTGTACCTCTCAGGATGCTCAGGGCTAAAAGTTCTGGCACCTAGTAGGTGCTCAATAAATATATGTATAAATGTTTCTTCTTCTCTTACTTTAACACTCTCCTCCTCCTCCCGCCAACTCCCACTGAGCACTTCCACCCAAAGTTTAAACTTCATTTCTTCAGAGAACATGACACCCCAAATGGTGCAAGTCCCCTCAGCTGTCTGCAAGTTATCCTCTACTTCTTCCTGACCCTCACCCCAATTGTGATAACACAGAATTGATGGTGTACGTATTTGTTTAAGGTTTTTCTTACCCATAGACTGAGTCTCAAGCTTGCTGGGGCTGGGGCTGTCTTATTCATTGCTTGGACATTCAATACGTATCTGTTGAATGAATGAGAAACTCACCCCTTCCTACCTTGGTCCCAGCACAGTTAGAAGATTTAACCAAAATTTTAGAAATGGAGACCTGATTGAAAAACAAGGTGCTTATTTGGGGTTTGCTAGCACTGCACTCCTGGAGACACAGATTCAAGAAGCGCTTCAGGGCTTCCCTGGTGGCGCAGAGGTTAAGAATCTGCGCTCCGCAACAGGAGAAGCCACCGCAAGGAAGAGTAGCCTCCGCTCGCCGAGTCTAGAGAAAGCCCTCCTGCAGCAACAAAGACCCAAGGGGGCCAAAAATAAATAAATAAACAAAATAACTAAAAAATATATATATATATAGATAGATAGATAGAAGCTCTTCAATTGTGTTCTGCAGGACTACAAAATGGGGAGGCTTATGAAGGCAGAAACCGCAAGGTTACAGTTAGTTACAGGAGTTGTTTGTCAAGAATTACAATCGGAGCTGGCCAGAAGTAAAGGTGCTTATTTAATAAGGATTGGTTGGGGTCCGAAATGGTTAAATAATTTCAAGGGGAGACCTTGAGACCATAAGGTTTGCAGCTGGCAAGTGTTGTTCTGAGTACTCTGGTGATGTCCATGGATCTGGTAGAGCTCAAAGAAAGTTCAGGTTTTCAGTGATGCAGAGATGTGTCTGAAACCAGATCCTCAACTGCTACCGGACTCCATTTTTTTTTTAATCGGACTCCATTTTTGTATGCCTGAATTGTGATCACTCTGTGTTAATTTCAATTTGTCATCAGAAGCCAGGTGAGTCCACCCTGTGATGGAGGATGAGGTTCTCTAAGTTTCTCTCAGGAAAGTCTGGAGATTTCACTGAACACTCCAAGCCACAACTTCCCATCCCCACACACAGCGGACCATTTTTCATGCCTCCCTTCCAGGCCCATAAGCACCCCCACACACACTCCACACACATATAGGTCATTTTCTATCAATTAAACTCACGTTTAGGAAAGGATCTGGGTCTGCTGGGGACACTTGGAAGGTCCTTCCACAGGAACACAGATGTGTGCACAGCTGTGGAGGCATGATTCTGTTTCCTCCCTTCCAGATCCAATCCCACTGGGGAGGCAGTGTCCTGACCCCGACTAAATAAGGGGCACATGCACCTGGACACGGATTTCTCAAAGTTTGGTGCGCTTAAGAATTTCCCAAGCCCTCACTACTCAAAGTGTAGTCCGTGGGACCAGCAGCACTCGGAGAGCTTGTTAGAAATGCAAAACCTCACTGTAACAAACAAAATTGAGGGCAACAGTGGGCCTGGATACACGCGTGTGCACGAATAGTGAGCACAGGGTAGGACAAAATTGGATTTAATGATCATGCAAAATAATGTGATTCAAGCATACCAAACTGCCTCCACTTGGGCATAGGCATGAACTAGGTCGGCCGGCTGTGAGCTGCAACGGTGCAGAGACACGGGAGCCCAGAACTCTTCTGGAAGCTCCCAGGGCACCCTCGGGTGCCCTCCTCGCCGCAACAGCCTCTTGTGGCCAGGGACGACGGCCTCCCCATTCGCCAGAGAGCCCTCCTTCCCAAATCTCCCTTCAGCTCCCGGCGCCCCAGGACCGGCCCGAGGTGGAGGGCCCGCTCTCGCAGCCTCGTCCCTCTCTCGGGTAGCCCGACCGGCGGGCGCGGGCAATCTTTGCCCCGGCGAGTCCTTGAAGTCTATATTTAGTGCATGCCACCCCTCCCCCACTGCCGGGAGGCAGGCGGCCGACGGGGTGTGGGGGGAGAGCCCCGCCCCCGCCGGGCGTGTGTGTCGGGTGCGTCTGGGGCCCGCGCGGCTTGCGCGCCCTCAGCCTTTGCGCCTCCTGCTCCCGAAACCCGGCTGCCGCCCCTGCGCCCCTCGTCCCGCCGGGCGTCGCGGGCCAACATGGGCCAGGAAGAGGAGCTGCTGAGGATCGCCAAGAAGCTGGAGAAGATGGTGGCCAGGAAGAACACGGTGAGGCTGCAGAGTTCGGGCCACAGCCCCAGTCCCCGGGAGGCGCGGCGCGTGCGAGCCCGGGAGTCCCGGGGGCCCGTGCTGGCTGGACGCCCGGGAGGCGCGTGCGGGACTCGGGGACCGGAGGGAGGCACGGCCGGGGCAGGGCTCAGCGCCCCTTGGGGACTGCTGGCACCTCGGGGTGGGCGTGTGCATGGCCCGGGGCTCCGGGGTGGACCGTGCCGGCCCCAAAAACTGGGCTCGTGCACGTACGCCTGGACCTGCAGGGTTGGGGCCCCTGGGTAGCTTGTGCAGGGCCCGGGAAAGAGAGTGAAGAGACCGGCAGCTGGAAAAGGACTTTCGAAGCCCCGGGACTCGGCGTGTGCGAAGCCCCGGGACTCGGCGTGTGCAAAGCCCAGGGAGCGGCAGTGACTGCGGGACGGGGGAGCCGGAGACTGGGGAAAACAAAATCCTGGGTGACCCGAGAGGGGGCAAAGAAACTTGAACTGATGAGGGGTGCTGAGCCGCGTCTACGCCGCACCCCGGGAGTGGATCTGGCGGAGAAAAGCGAAGGGCCTCGGATCCCGCAACCCCACAGCTTGAGGCTCCAGGAGCTGCTCTGTTTGCAACTCTCCCTTTCCTTGGCCGAGGGTTGGGGCCCAGGCGGGCGGGGGCCGAACAGGTGTCGGGCAGCCGCTGCGCCCATGGGGCCCGCGGGGCGGGGGAAGGGGGACCGGCTGCAGGCCTGAGTGCGGGGCGGAGGAGGCCGGGGGGGAGAGAGGGGCCCGGAGGTTGCGGGGAATCAGAGATGGAGGCCTTACCTGCGGATCCCTGAGCGCTCAGTGCCAGGAGCCCTCAGCGCGGGCCGACTTGAAGTTAATATTTGATCCTCCCTGTGATCTTTGCCTCAAGTTGGCTGCCGCCCTGTTGCCTAGACAAGCAAACTTGGCCTTGGGACGGAGAGGGCTGGAGCTCACCAGGAGAGGGAAGAGAGAGGAGGGTAGGCCAGCAGGCAGGTCCCTCACTTTGCCCTGTCCCAGAGCCCTCCTCCTCCCACCATTTGTAGGCATATGCTGGAGCAGGACCTGCGTTTCCAGCACATTCTGTAATCCTAGGAGCTTGAGAGAGGGATGGACCCTAAGGGTGGTTTTAGAGCAGGGAAGAGGGAGAGGTCACTGGATCCATGGAGTGTCAGGGAGCTCTCCAGTAGACATGGGCAGTAATGAGTTGGTGTCCATATAAAGACCAGAGCCTCAGTTTCTTCATCTGTAAGAAGATGAGATTATCTACCTCCTGGGAAGGAATGTCACTGGATTTTTGTCTCTGCTGGTGGTGGTGAGGGTGGAAGAGATGTGAAACCCTTAGGAAGACCTGGACTGGTGCTTGGGAAGGCTTCGAGAGTGACTCCTGCTTTTGCACAGCCAGAGGAAACACACAAGCCTGCAGAGTGTTGGGAGCCCGCATGCCAGGATGCTCCAAAGTCAGTGAAACTGAGCCTCAAGTCATCAGGCTCAACTGGGGGCGGCAAGCCCAACCCGGGGCTCCTGA